ACTGCACATCAGAACACCTCTGTCCTCTGGAAATTTAGAGCACCAACCACACCAGACCCTGCTTGCTAAGAGCAGCTGTGTCCTGGTCACCAAGGCAAATGTCCCCTGGTAGCTAAGGGCCCCACTCATCCCCCAACATAACTCTGGGTGGTCTAGCTAGATACCCCCAGCAATGTGCCTCCTCAAGAGTTCCATGTGTGTTATCTCAAAGACTGTCATCCCTCAGGAAGGATGGGGGTGGAGTCCAGCTGTCAGGACTCCAGAGAATGGGCCTTTGTCTGGACACTAGAGACCCAAGGGACAGCTGGCTTGACCATGGGGAGAGGGCACCCCCACCACCCAATCCCCAGGATGAACTGACTCCATCTCCCATCAGGCACTAGGTCCTTAACAGAGGCAGACGTAGCCCCAGGTGCTGGTGGGAGTTGTAATTCTCAGGCCTACCCAGATGTGACAGTCCCTCGTCCCCCAAGTCTCACAGTCCTCCCGCCATCCCCTCCATGGAGCAGGATTGGCATCCATGTTTCCTGGAAGACTTCCTTTTATCACTGGATGGCAATAGAGGGCAAGGCCTTCCAGGAGCGCTGAGAAATGTGAGCTTTTGTTTCTCAGGGGCAGATGGGAATTGGAATTTTCACCTGCCGCTCGCTGCCTGATGGGATTTGTAGGCTCCAGTATCCAAGTGACTGATGGGAATAGGGAGTCTTTGTGTCCCAGAGGCTGCTGGGTATTGGAAGTTTTTTGACCTCCCAGAGGTTGATGGGAGTTGGGAGGTTTGGTTTGATTTTATCATGGTGACAACATACCTGTCAAAGCATGTGCTAAATACAACACGCATAACCATTTGGTGACCTGGGTTACATTTTTTCCATGGGTGGCACCATGCTACCCTGTGGGGAGCTTAGCGTTTTCCATCTCAGAGGCTGATGGGAGTTGGGAGGTGGTGTGTTGTTGTTTTTTTAATTTCTCCCAGAGGCTGATGGGAATTGGAGTTCTGACCTCACAAACATTGAGTAACGTGGTTATTATTGTTGTCCATGAATTGAGTGGACTTTTTCCCCCTTCTGCCCAAAGCATCTCATGAGGATGAGAGGCTTGGCTTATGGGCTGATGGATTAACTATTGCTGAATTGTATGCCATCAGGTTGATTCTGACTCTTGCGGACCATGCGTGTGTGCGTGTGTGCGTGTGTGCATGTGTGCGTGTGTGCGTGTGTGACCTTAGCAGAACTGTGCTTCCCAGGATGGTCAGTACCCATGGCCTTGTTGACCTTCCTGCCTTCCTTCTGAGGCAGCTCTGGAGAGACTGAGCCTCGAGCCTTTTTGTTAACAGCCAAGAACTAGCCAGAGACCCTGCTCATGAGAGAAGCTTTTTAGAATGGAGGTCTCTGACCCTCCAGGCGCTAATAGAATTGCTGAGAGGAAAATAGGAGTCAAAAGGTTGAACCCCTAAAAGTTGTCATTGGCGTTTTCTTGCTGCCCAGGGCATGATAGGACTTTGATTTTGTCTTTTCCGTTGGGTGTTGGAGTCTGTACTTCCTAGGGGCTGATGGGAGCTGTAGTCTTTCCCTCGTGGGCGTTGACTGTTGGCTGGACACACACTGCAAATGTCCGGCTCTGAGGAGAACTCAGTGCCTCACTGAGGCATCATAGGTGCCTCCCGAGAAAGGTCTCCATCTGCTTCTGAAAGGAACCAGAAGGCATCACTCTGACATGCACAGGGTCTCAGAACCGGCATGGTTACTGGTTTATCAAAGGTTATTGGGTGAGAATAGATGAGGCTTCTATCATCCACTGCCCAGAAGAGGACGGGAATTTGAAGTGTGGCTGGTCAGAGGCTAGCAGAGCGGGAGGGTCTCTTTTTCCCAGAGACCTGAGAGAATTGAAGTCTTTGACTCCCAAGCGCTAATGGAATTGCTTTATCTCCAGAGAACAACTAAGTGTGAACTCCTTTGAAGTGGGATGGGAGACTCTTCCCTTCAGGGACTCATGGAGATGGGAGACTCTCCCTCCCAGGGCCTGATGGGGATGGGAGATTCTCCCACCTAGGGGTGGGCGTAGGAGTTTCTAGCTGCCTATGGTCAATGGGAGTTGAGCTCTGGGGCTGGGTCAGTTTGGGCTGATGGAAGGCGGAGACCATGCCCTTTGGCCACCACATAGTCCCTTCCAGCCCGCTTCCCCCTCTGTCCCTGCCCCCTCCCCAGGTATCTGGTTCTGGAGCATGTTTCTGGGGGTGAGCTGTTCGACTACCTGGTGAAGAAGGGGAGACTGACCCCCAAGGAGGCCCGGAAGTTCTTCCGCCAAATTGTATCAGCGCTGGATTTCTGCCACAGCTACTCTATCTGGTGAGGGGACAGCTTAGTGGGAGGCGGGGGAGCGGGCCTGAGGTCCGGGGAGGGGTGTGTAGCATATTGACGGGAGGACAGTGGGGAGGGGACCCTAAACAAGTCTTTCACCCGTGTAATTTTATTTTTTTTAACATGAGCGGTCACTCACAAACCACACAAAATTTAGGAGCCCTGGTGGCATACTGGATTAGATGCTGGGCTGCTGACTAATTACAAGGTCAGCGGTTCAATTCCACCAGCCAGCTTCTCAGGAGAAAGATGAGACTTTCTGCTCTCAGATAGATGTATAGCCTCCAAAGCTCACAGTGGGCAATCCTACCCTCTTTCTACAGAGTCACTATGAGTCACCATAGGCTTGAGGGCAGTGAGTTTGGGCACAGAGCAGCTCTGGGCTGCTAACCACAAAGCTTAGAGGCTCGACCCTCCTGTGTTCGTCTGGGTGGACTAGAGAAACAAATTCCTAGGCCCTCATAGGTGTAGAAGAAAGAGCTTTATATACAAAAACAGTTGAATATTGAGAAAACATCCCAGCCCAGTCCAGATCAAGTCTGTGAGTTCCATGTTAGCCCTTTATGTCCGATACCAATCTATAAAGTCCTCTTCAGACTCATGAAACACATGATGGAGAATGCAGGAAGCTCACAGGCCAGTGGGTGCAAGGTCTTGCAGTAGAAGCATCTCAGCGCCACTGGCAGGGGTCTCCATGTGGCTCCTCCAGTTCCCAGGCATGGAGTCTATCAGCTTCCCTACACCTTCGCCCCATTCACAGCGAAGAGTTCAACGACTGTTTTGATGCATCTAAAATCGCTCTTCAACAGGGGCTGGGGGACGGGGGAACTCAACAACCAAATTCCCCTGAGATACCATTTCACTGGTGATGGTGGTTCGGGGTCCCCCCTCCCACAGGGACCTCAGAAGAAAGGCCTGAGGGTCTATATCAGAAAGATCACCAAAAGCAAGACAAACCAACTGCCGAGTCGATTCTGACTCATAGTGACGCGGTATAAAAGGCAGGCGGACTGCCCCTGTGGGTTTCCAAGACTGAAGAGCGATTTTAGATGCATCAAAACCCATCGTTGAACTCTTCGCTGTGAATGGGGTGAAGGTGTAGGGAAGCAATCCATTTTCTTTCTCTTTCTTTTTGCAAACGCTTTATTGGGAATGTGGTGACGGGCGTATAGGGCAGATCACAGTTTTGTGTTTGAGCATTCATACACATGCTGATTCTGCTCATCCACTGCAGTGCCTGCACTGCCCCACTGCTCACCCACGCCTCCCTGTTTCCGTTCTTTCTTCTTTCCCAACTTTGTCCTTGGGCACATACTGCCCGTTTGATTTTAAATATTGAGTATTCTAACATTGGGGGCCGGGGGGGGGGTCCCACCAATCTCTGTCATATCAGTAACCCTGGTCTCCTGCGTGATTTGGGGTTTTGTGCCACATTTTCTCCTGATCAATCCAGGGACCGTCTACAGGGATCCTTTTCTGAGCAGTTAGCAGTGGTAGTCAGGCACCATCTAGCTCTTCTGTCTCAGGGTCGTGGAGGCTGATGAATAGATCCGTGTTCCGTTCAACAATTCCTATACGTCATGGATAGCAATTCCCACGATATCACTTCACTCCTCCCACTTCCTGGATTTCCCTTTCTCCTCCTTTCCTTGACCCTTCCTGAATTCTTAATGTGGTCCTTGATCACATACTTGTAAGGTCCAGCCCCACATCTGGGTGGGTTCTAAGGGAGCGGGCGTGTGATTGAGGGGTACATTAAAGACACATGAGGCAAGGTGTGCAAGGGCTCACCTCCTCCGATGGAGGCAGGAACCAGGGTGAGGGGTGAATGGGAAGGGAAAACATTACGTGACAGGTAAAAGTTTTGGGATGGTTCACCTCCGCCATGGCTTCAGGAACGAGGTCGGAGCAGAGAGAGAGCGTAATATATTCTCTCAGGAGCTTATATAATCTCCGGCGTGCAAGCCACAGCAAGCACATAGTAACAGGAAGAAGTTGTATTAGAGGCGTACATGTGCAGGAAGGGGACCAGCTAGGGGTATCCGCTCAATAGGAAGGGGAAGTACTAGAGGCACACATGTGACAGGAAGGCTGACACTTAACAAGAGTCAAGAAGGCAGCCTAACCTTGGTTGTCTCTGACCTGGCTTGACTTTAGGTGTCTTTGAACTCTTCTCCAGGGGAACTGTCTATGGTCCTTTTCAGGAGGAAGTGAGTCGTACGTAGGGTTAGATGGTCTGACTGCTTTTGATGGCAGACAACCTTTAGGCAGATGGCCTTCAAGCAGTTGACCTTCGTGAGTATAGTGAGTGACCATGTGCTTGCAAAGGACACCTTAAGTTTGGCATTACTATGGGGGGGAATAACTTGTACTTAGGAGAACGTGATTGAAATGCATCTCCAACCTACAAACGTGAGGGTTCCCTCCACGGGAGCCCTGGCCTCCCAGACTCCTTCACACATTCGCGTTGAGAGTTTGTCCTCTCTCGCTTTCCAGTTCTGTTTCCCACCCGTGCTGCCCTTTTGATCTCTAACCGTTGATTATTCTGAGGAGTGTGTGCCTCCCTCATGTAATGGCTCATGCTATAGACCTGTCTGTGGCTTGGCTGAAAGTTGATCCGCAGAGATGGATTCCGTTCCAGACCTGGAAGGTGGCTGAGAGCCATCATCTCAGCCATCCATCAGTCCATCTCGAGCCAACTAATGAGCCTCGTCTTTTGTTGGTTGGTTTGCTTGTTTTAATGATTTTGAGTTTTAGTCTACATTTTCTCCCCCTCCAGCCAGAGTTTCCTCATGTGATTTCTTTCAGAGGGGCTGGAAGTCGTCCATGGGGCACCATCTAGTTCTTCTGGTCTCAGGATCACAGAGGCTGAGTTTCATGTGGTATCTTAGTCCTTTGGACAGGTTGTTTCTATGCGTCTTCAATTTCCACTTAAATGTCTGTTATTCTTTTTGGCTCAGCCCAGTGGGGAGAGACCAGTTGTTCATTGCACCTTCCCTTATGTGGTTTGGATGCATGTATCGCTAATGAGTAGTGACTTTGAACACCTGTTCCTGCACTTCGTGGCAACGTGTGTGCCTTTTTGGGGGGAACAACAGACATTTTGGATCCTTCATAGTCAGGTTCTTTATCTCTCTGTTGTTGAATTACAGGAGTTCTCGGAATAAACCATCTTTGAATGTACAGGGTTTCCATTTCCCCCCAGATCATTGACTGCTTTTGTACTTTCACAGCACCGTTGTTTTTCATTTGATGAACTCCCACTTGTTGAGTGTTTTGCTTTTCGCTTCTATCGTTCATAGGTTTTTTTTTTTGTTTTTGTCACATTTAAGAAATGGTCGCTCCATGACATAGTGGGTTAAGCATTGGGCTGTTAACCTCATGGTTAGCAGTTCGAACCCACTAGCCACCAGCCATTCCTCACAGGAAGGATGAGGCTGTCTGTTCCCCTGAAGGGCTTACAGCCTTGAAAACCCTACACAGGGTCGCTGTGCGTCTGACTTGACTCAATGGCCATGGGTTTTGGTTTAATCTTTAGGGGAGGAGCCCGGGTGATGCAGTAGATTACGTGTTGGTGGTTAGAACCTACCCGATGCTCCGTGAGAGAAAAAGAAGGCGGTCTTTTCCTGTACAGATTTGCTGCCCTACGGGGCAGTGCAGAGGAGCCCTGGTGCCTTCGTGGTTATCCATTGGGTTGCTAAGGACAAGGTCAGCAGTTCAAAACCATCCGCCGTTCTGTGGGAGAAAGACGAGGCTGTTGATTCGTGTGAAAAGTTAGTCTTTCACCCACAAGGGCAGCTCTACCCTGTCCTATAGGGTCCCTATGAGGTAGCGTAGACTTGATGGCCGAGAGCCTGCGTTTTGCATTTAGGAGTCTGCTTTGTGCTGTACGGTGGGTATCAGTTAGGACGGACTCAATCGATGGCGGTCAGTTTGTTGGCCCAAGTTGGTTTCTTTGTCGTTTGGGCTTTGCCCAACTCAAAAGTCACCGAGATTTTCTTCTAGAAATTACGTGTTTTTCTTCCCGCCCAGGTGGCCCACTGGTTAAGTACTAGGCTGCTGATGGAAAGTGGACCGGTTTGATCCCACAAGTCGCTCCACAAGAGGGGCTGTCTGCTTCCATCGACATTCACAGACTTGAACCCCTGGGAGCGTGGGGCAGGTCTACCTTTTCCCACAGGGTCCCTAATGAGTCAGCATCGACTCGATGGCAGGAAGTTTGGGTTTGGGGGTTGGCGGTGTTGAGAACGTGCTCGGTATCAGATGCGTGCTGGTCAGGGACAGGGTTAGATTCGGCGATCCAGGCCCACCGTTGGGGGACGTTAGTGACACTCTTTGAGGGGGGCGACTGTTCTCCCCTTCCTCCTCTGAGTTGCCCCTCCCCTCCAGCCCCAGCTCTCAAGACTGGAGGATGTTGGGGTGCGCGCGCGCGTCTAACCGTGCCTACAAGCGGGAGAAGGGGGACACACAGTGGGGAAGAGATGTGGCAGGCCCTTGGGAGGTGTGTTGTTCAGCCGCATCCAATCGGTTCCGACCCACAGCCACCTTACGCTCAACAGAAGAGAACACGGCCCGGTCCTGCACCACCCTCACTACTGTTCCTCTGCCTGGGCCCACTGTGGCTGCCACGGTGCCCATCCATCTCCTGGAGGGCCTTCCTCTTCTTCGCTGCCCTTCTTTAGCAACACGCGGAAGCATATGTCGGACCAAGCCTCCCCAGCCTGGCCTCTGAGGAGCACCCGGCTGTCCTTTTCCCAAGGCAGATTCTTTGGTTCTTTTGACGGTCCCTGGGGCGTTCCTTAATCCTCATCAGCGCCATCCTTCAAAAGCCTGGATTCCCCTCCAGCCTTCTCCGTCAGTGTCTGACGTCCACATGCACGCTTGAAAATACCGTGGTCTGGGTCCTTAAAGCCACACCCTTGCTTTGCCCTTCTCTAAAGAGATCGGTGCAACACATTTGCCGACAGTGGTCGCTGCATCGGGGGCTCTCCCGCCTGCCATTTCCCCGAGCACTGATTGTGGATCCAGGCAAGACGCCTGGATCTCAATGACTTGCATCGTGTCAGGATGCTGCCTCCCGGTCCCAGGGTGAGGATTTGGGCCTTCTGGACCGGCGGCGTTGCGATCCAGACTGAAGGCTGCCGTCCGGCTTCTTCATCAGGGAGGTTAGGGGGAAGCC